TAATTTTTTAAACATAATAATATTTTTATTACACTAATAATTTTTGAAAATTCAAAGAGGCGTCTAAGATAACTATAGTACAATATTGATATAGATTTCTTTCAGAAATTTCCAAAATCTCAATCTTTTCGTAAATCAGTGTCCAATTTTTGTCACGCGTTTCGTAAAGGGTTAAACGCATCCTATGTCCAACCAAATTTCTTTACACCCTCGAGAAACTAATATCGCCAGATTCCCCCGTAGAATTTCCCTCTAATTTAATCAGCAAATTGATTGCTCCGGTCACTCTAAAAAATCGTACGCTACAAAATGTCTTCATTCGTTGAAAAAAAGAAATGCCAGGCAACGACACCAGATCCCCTTCCACTCCCACTTCTCTTTGTCGCATAGGGTCGACGGATCCCCGATGCACAATGGGACGCGTGATTGCGTTTCTCGCTGCCTTTCGCGGCAACAATTCGACCGGCCTTGGTCGTGTCCTGTGCCACACAGTGAAATTGTTCGGCTGCCGCGGCCCAGGAATCCTCCCTTTGCAGAAAATAAAATCGCCAAGGCTGCTACGGCTCTCTCCCGATGACCCGGACACGCGCGGATCATCGAATCAACGCGACGTCGCGGAGAGACTTGACCCTTTGATATCGTCGACTTTCGTTTGGGAGTCGTTTGAAGAAAGGAGTGAAAAGTTTCACTTAGTTTGGTTGTTTGAGATTTTTGTATGCAGGTTAATTTAAAATTCGAAGGATGGAAAGTGTGTGACGACGCGCTGAGACTTGACCCTTTGAAATCACTGACTTTCATTTGACAGTCGTTTAAGAAAAAAGGAACATTTCACTGAGTTTAGTTACTTAACAAATTTCTTTACAAATTAATCTAAAATTAAAGAAATAAAAAGTGTGAGTGATGGAAAGAACGCGATTTAACCCTTTGAACCCTCGATAACTTTTCCTTGACTTTCACTTGATAGTCGATATCTCGAAAAATACAAATTCTCCTGAATTTGGTCACTTAAAATATTTATCTACAAATTAATTTACAATTTAAAAATCTAAAGTGTGAGTGATCGAACGAACGCGATTTAACCCTTTGAACCCTTGATAATTTTTCCTTGACTTTCACTTGATAGTCGATATCTCGAAAAATAAAAATTCTCCTGAATTTGGTCACGTAAAATATTTATCTACAAATTAATTTACAATTTAAAAGTCAAATGTGTGAGTGATCAAACGAAACCGATATCGCGTCGCGATTTAACCCTTTGAACCCTCAGTAATTTTTCCTTGATTTTCATTTGAGAGTGAAAATTTCGAAATGAAAAATTGCACGGAGTTGAATTATTCAAAATTTTACGGTTAATTTCGAATTTGAAGCATTAAAATTGTGTAAGAGCGTCAGTGGTGATTCTGGAACCAAAGGGTTAATGGCGACTGCGTGCCGCTCGAGGAATTATTTGTCAGTGTCAGAGGAGACACGCGGTGCTGCCGTTTCGTGGTGCTTTTGGTGTTGTTGTAGAAGCTTCACTCGGTGGAGTGGATTCTTGCGTTCTAGGTAGTTGCTTTCTTTCAGATGTCTTCAATCTTTGAGACTGCAGTGGATGATACGGTGCGTGGTTGTCCGTAGGAAAGATGATCTTTTTTAAGGGCGAGGAATGTGTATAGATTGTTTCAAGTTAAATGTTAAATATCGTAATATATTTATTTCAAATTTTTGTTTACAGTATATTACAATATATAAATTTTATGCAATATATAACGAAAGTTCTCAGATTCAGATTGCAAAAGCATTTTTTATCCGTCTGTTAACTGATAGACAAATTTATCAGTCGATGAATTGAGTCTATTAAACTGTGTCACCAATTTTGACAAATTACTTTTCATTTTTGAAATATTCAATTTCTAAATTCATTTCTAATTTCATTTTTCAAATATCCAACTTCTAATTTCATTTTTCAAATATCCAACTTCTAATTTCATTTTTCAAATATTTAATTCCTAAATTAATTTCTAATTTCATTTTTCAAATACTTAACTTCTAATTTCATTTTCGAGATACTGAATTTCTAAATTAATTTCTAATTTCATTTTTCAAACATTGAATTTCTAAATGAATTTCTAATTTCATTCTGGAAATATCGAATTTCCCGTATCTTGAAAAATTCACAAACCCACATTACTCGCAGACAAATCCATCAATCAACGAATCAACTCTATCAAACAACATCACAGGAATAATTCAAAAAAACCAGTTTCGCAATATTACAAAAATTATCGAATACCAGCTTCCTCCTCCAATCTCCTTCTACTTCTTGCCTCATCGATGCAGTACAATTTTATCTCTATTGAAAAACAGAACACGTCCTCCTCCAGTAGTGGACCCGGTCTCTTAAGGAGATTCCTGCTTGCTGGTCATCGTCCGTTGGGAAGTCTACGTGTAACTTCGTGTAGGCGATCCTTGCCTCTTTCTTTCTCTCTCTCTGTGGTCCACAGATATCGAGTCTCGATCACCTTGATGCCCGTTTGTTCTCCAGCTACCGAGAATCGCCAGGTACGCACGTAGGAAGTGACAACGCTACCTCGTAGGCGAGCTTCGCCGGGCAAAAGCGTGGATAATCAGGGAATAGATTCCTGTCTACGCGAGAAACTTGTACCACGGGGAGGAAAGAAGATAAATGGGGAAAAAAAGGGTGGAACAATGTTCGAGCGTGATAATCGTGCAAGCGAGAACCGTGAAAGAACTTATAAGTGGCTCGGTAACGTTTCCTTGTTAGTAATTTCGCGATGAATATTTTTGTGATTTTTCTTTTTTTTAATATTGTCCATTTCAATTTTGACTTCCTGTGTGTCTTTTTGTGGTAATTTGACGATGGATTTTTGATTTCTTTTTTTTTTTTTTTTGGAAATATTGTTCATCTGAATTTTGGCTTCCAACGTTTTTCTGTTGGTAATTTGGTGATGGATATTTTTGATTTTTTTTTTAATATTGATAATTTAATGTTTGGCTTCCAACGCTTTTTTTAGGGGTAATTTGACGATGAATGTTGGAAATATTGTTAATTTAAATTTTGGAGTGAACTAAATTTGGGTAATGGTAAAAATTGTTCGAGGAATAAAGTGGATAATTCGTTTGAAATAATGGTACTTTGTACGGTAGGGCAAGTAGCTGTTCTAAGAGTTATAATTACAAGAGTCCTCTTGGGTGAGTAATTAGAGTGTCTGATTGCTAATCTAAGGGTCTCAAGTTCGATTCTCGGATGGGTGTGGTGTTCTTGGGTTTTTTCAGAAAGAGAAAGTTTATTAATTCTAAAATTTGTACAGACGTATGTGTTTCGTTGTTAATTTTTCATTTAACAATTGACTACCTTTGTCAAAACTGAGAATAAAAAAAAATTTGAAACTGTCGTTCGAAATTTTATTTCCGTGAAATTTTGGACCTCAATTTCATATGACAATTATTCGTACGATAAAAAAGTACTATCTTAAAAACAACAAGAAACCAAGAAACCACGATAATGAAAAGAAAAAATAATGTAAAACACGCAAGAATCAAATAAAAGAGAAAGAAAAAAATAACTGCTGAATGTTCTCTCTAGTTAAAATTAGCATTCTACAAATGATTTAAGCTGCTTTTCAAATTTCGTTCGAACATTGTAGATTAACCATCGAAACGACTGGATTTAATTGCGGCTTATAATGAAACTCCATTAGCCTTTGCTCTTATTATCCTCCTTTTAGTTTGGCCAGCTAGTAAAATGTTAATTGCAATTTATCGTTGACGCATGTAAAATCGCGAAATTTGCCGAAGAATGCATATATACGTGGTCTGTTTTAAGTGTGTGTGCGAAGAAAGATAGTCACGAGTCTCGAGGTAAAATTTAAACCAAAGCACTATTTGTTAATGACGATACAACTACTAAATTTATCTATCACAAAAACTGCTCATTTTTATTATCAAGACCAAAATGAAGTTCGAATCTTTTACACGTCCTACGCCGTCGATGTGAATGCTATAGCGGTCGCATAGTTCGTTGCGGCGGTGTAAACGCAGCTTAGAATTCCAACGAGACGTCGTGGTCAGTAAAACGTTTTTGGAAAAATGCTAGAAGCCACTCGGACCACACCCACGCTCCTCGAGATCCGGTCACATATTTGCGGAGGTCGTCTTATGTCGTAAACAACATAAACATAATGCAGTCAAGTCCATGGACCACACCCGGTGTACACACGCACGCACACATACGCAGAGAGAGGAAGGTATCGAAGGTATCCAGACCCTATCGTAACAAGGGTCTGGACGCGACTTCAGTCTTCACGGTCAGAGAGAAAGACAGATTCCAAAGAAAAAAGACAGATAATAAATAAATAAAAAGACGTAGGAATAATCGGCACTTCGGTAAGTTCGCTGATCGAAATAAATCTTGGCCAGATACTAATGTTGGCGTATTTTATTTGTAAACGTGGAACGTTGCGTGTCATAGGGAATTTCTGAGTGATGAAACATGAGATTTCTGTGATGTAAGGATGTATAAAAATAAAATATTAGTTGTAAACAGAGTATTCGTGTTATATTTAACGGAAGTAAGCGTTGTGTTGAGGTTTTTTTGTACTACTGGATGAACAATTTAGATTCCTTCTGGCTCAATTCGTAGATGTAAAACTTCCATCCCTCTGACTACTGTCACTCTCAAAATTCTGGATAGTCCAACGGCTTGGTATATGCTGTCTGCGGATTCCACTGGCTCGTCGTTCACGTGCGTTACAATATCGTTGACTTGTAAACCTCCCCTAAGATGTTTAAATAAACATTTATCCTTGTTATGAATAACACGTAAAAATGATTTTAGATACGTACATGTGTGCCGGTGATCCCACGGTCACTTGATAGATTAGTACTCCGTGCCTGATGTTGCGTGGAATTCCCCTTAATTTCTTTTGCAATTCGTCAAAGAGATCTGGCGTTAGGCTAAGCATTGTGACACCGATATATTTAGTTTGGGGATTGTCGGCTACGGTTTTTATACCTAATACAATATTACTTTTTACTTTGCAGTTCTTATATTTGATACTTTTCAATTTTTTTTTTTTTCACGAATACTGCACCTTCGTTCTTTCTACGTTGTTCTGCTTTCTTTAAAAAATCTTTAACATCATCTATGGGTATTGCAAAAGAAATGCCAGACGTTACTTTCATTACATTTATACCAATTGCTTCTCCATTTAAATTAACCAGTGGACCACCAGAATTTCCAAACTAAAAAATAGCAATGTTTAACAAACATATATTCCATTTAAATTAAAGTACTAATAAAGAGATACTAACAGTGATAGCAGCATCAGTCTGGATGTAAGCCATCTGCTTATTGCGAAGACCAAGTTCTTGGCTCTGTCTATTTACACTGCTTATTACTCCACTTGTTATTGTATTATTTAGAGCTAATGGAGATCCAATTGCTACTACAAATTCCCCTGGTCTAAGATTTGCAGAAGAGCCCAGCTTCATTACTGGCAAATTTGTCTGTAAAAAAGAAGTAATTGAAATAAGAATAATAGAAATGAAAATAAATTAATTATCACATAAAACAAATATGAACCTTTTTAATCCGCACAGTAGCAAGATCACTGCGCAAATCAATGTCCTCTACAAGGCCAACATAAGTAGTTCCATCATAAAGACGTACCTGTGAAATGGATTGCATAATAATTTCTGATAAAAACTTGTTCACTATTTATTCCTGTAACACAAAAAGGATTATTCCAAATGTAAGAGTTACCTTAACAGTTGTATTAGGCCTATTGGTAACCACATGAGCATTGGTCAGTATCAATCCATCTGATCCAACAATGAAACCAGACCCATTGCTTATGGTGGATGGTTTACCTGTATAAGAATCATGTCTATTTGCCGATTAACAATTGTTCAAAATTACAATTGTATTAAATTTGCTCCAAACGCAAACACAAACTACATTTACCTTTTATTGCTTTGAATTTCAATGTACACTACAGCAGGAGCTGATACCTCCACCACATCTGCTATAAAATTATATCTATTCCTATTGTCATTTCCATTCCAAGATGTAGCATGTATCGTGAACACGGAATGCATCAAATTACTAAATCGGTTTTGATAATCATCTTTCCATTTGTAGAAAATATAACCAAAACCGGAAAAGAAAACAGTGTAAAGTAAGACATTCTTTATTGTTTTATTAAAAATATGAGACTTTTGTTCTTGATTAAACGTATTTTTGTATCGAAAGAAATGATCCGCGTATGAAACTGATAATAATTGTTTATACTGGAACTGATTTCTTTTCAAAACGGTCCAAGATACACGCGTCAAAGGGACAGCCATTTTTCGACTTCCAATCAGAGATCAGTCTTTCAACTGTACTTTCGAATTCGAATTCCGCGCGCGCGTAGTTCTTCGAAATTTATGCAAAAAAATTGTTATTGAAAGCGTGTGTTGTGAAGAGTGTGGACAGTACTCTAGTGAACCTTCCTCGTGGGAATCACGGTGCTTCAGAACTAAAAATTGAAAAAATAGTGAGTGAATTTTATTACAATGTTTCAAGTTCGAAAGGTTAGTGCAAAACGAATGCATCTGACAAAAAAGTTAGAGCACAATATTTTAGAAGAATGTAATTTTCTTAAATTACGGAATAATTTATTCGGTCTCTTGTATGATGAAATCGTATAGAAAAAAGCATAAACATTTCGAATACACTTTATTGAAGTACATAAATATTATATCAATAAGAAGACGTATGTACAGTATAAAACGAACGATTTATAATTTTTCTTTGCAATAACCATACTATGCTGGTTGTTTTTTCATTTTCTTCTTTATATTTACAATTCCATTTGACTGATTGCGTAACTTTGCTTTTTTTTGTATTTTTAAAGCTTCAGGTTTCTTTAACATTCGAGGTTTCTTAACTTTTAGCTCTGGTGTTATCTTTTGTTTTTCCCCTTTCTTCTCCAACTTCCTCAAGGACTTTTTAGTATTTTTAACTACTGATATTTTCCCTGTTTCTTCATCAGGTTCACCTGAAGCCCGTACTTTCCTCTTCTTTATGTTATTGACAGTTTCTTTTTCATCACTAGCCTTGCGTTTTCTAATCTTTTTAGTTTTTGCTGCATTTATATGAGTTTCTTCATCTATATCACATTCTTTCTCAGTGTGTCCTGCAAGTCATAAAATAAATTATGTTATTCTATTATAATTATTGTGCACATACAAACTACGTACCAGGTTCGTTGCATTTAAAACATTTTCCAATGACATTTGGCTTGTTGCCACACAGATGTTTTGTCACAACACATCTTGTGCATGTTTTACAATGTTTCCAATAAGGTTTCACGCATCGTTTGCATATGTCACAGTGTTTATATGTGAGACCATTTTTGGAAGTACAGTCCTGACATTTCTTACAATGTTTATTTTCTTCGGAAACCCATTTCTTACATTTTTTACAATACCAATAACCATCTGACTTAGGAAGTTGGACTAAGTTTAATGGTACATTTGTAAACATTCTGATTGGTGATGGTAATTTAGTAGGTTTGGAGTCTGTTATAAATAAAGGATGATTATCATACGATACTTTGTAGTCTGTCATTCTTAAATCCCTTAAGCCACCTTCCACATCAGGTGGATTGCTTTTCTGTTTCATTATGGATTCCATGAAGTATGGAAATATGAATATAACTTTTAAGCAATCACTCTCATCTTCTATATTGTTCCATTTTCTATGGAGATCAGAAATTTTCTTTATGGTCCATGATATTGGTTCTACTCTACTACCAAAAGGTGGATCACATACCAAGTATATGTCTTTTCCCTTGTTTTGCATGACAAAGTCTTTAAATACATACATAGCACTCTCATTGAAAAAATGATTATTCAAAAGGTTATACCAACAATAATTCAGTGGTCCAAAAAAGTTGTGCTACAAATAAATAAAACATATAATTATATTAGTTTCACATAGCTTGCCTCAATATGATTAACACTAACACTTGAAACTTACAAATCTTCCATCAAAATCTAACAGGAGTGAAGATATATTATCTTCATGTTTCTCTAAAATATGTTCATGAATTTTTGGAGTACCAATGCAAAGAACTTGCTTTGCACCAAGTTTTACAAGTATATTTACTATATCCTCTGTTGCTTTCTTTGTAAAAAAATATTGAGCTTCTTGTCTAGAATTTTCCAAAGGTTTCAAGATTTCTGTTGGATGTGTCATTTCATAGTCTGTCAGGCCTTCTTTTATGTCATGATTCTTGTGTTTGTTCGTATCATCCTTATCAGCTTTGGATATCAATTGCTCACAAGTGTAACAGTAACACCTTTTCTCTGGTGCTATTGCCATTATCTCATTAAAACGTACATATAACGATCTATGACGATAACGAGATACATATCGCTTCTTTTCCTGATCCCATTTGGTTGCTTGCCGTTTCGTTAATTGTTCATCTTCTTTTAAATAAAATTTGCACATTTTTCTCTCGCGGCAAGCAGCACACACGTAGAATTTCTGCAATTTACCAGTTTCGTATGAACCAAATAACAAGGTAGGTCCTAAATAAAGGAAATATCATTGGAAATGTGTTACACGCCGCTACTTGACAAAATTAAAAATTTTAACACGAAAAATTACCATGTGGACATTGAGGATGTTTACTCGGGTCGGACCAGTAGCATTCCATGTTCGAAGAAATTTATTGAACGATTTAAAAACGATCAATTACACCGATGTTTGCTATAAATCAAAGATTACACATGTTTACGGAAATTTATTATTTGCCCATTAATTAAATAAATATTTATTAAACGACCCATACTACACACCCTAAACGAAGCATTCGTTCACACAAAACCAAAACACACCACGTGGTTAGCAGAACGACGAGAAGTCGATGAATTATCGATACAATTCGAGAATCGCTTGCGATTCGAGAGTTGCTTGCGATATTTTAAAGTACTTATTTGAAACGAGCCATTTCCCGCGTCAATCAGTTGCAACGAATTTGAACGGTGATCGCGAGTGGTCTGTGCGGTGAATCGTTTTTTAGTGAATTAAGTGTAAAAATTAAGTTCCTAATGTGTTTGGATTACTTAAGTTAACGCAGAAATGATACAGCTTCAATGTACGTATAAAATTTAATAAAATATGCTTGATTTTTACGAATAATATGTAATTCAAAGTGAAGTAGAATATTAGATAGAATTCTCCATTACATTTTCAAATCTAACGGTTTTTCGATCTTTGTCAATTTGAAATTAGCGTCGAAAAAACCGTTTAATTAACGCAGAATACGATGACTTCGAAAACGTAACTGCTAATATACATAAGGCAATTTAAGCCTCTAAAGACTATAAACATCTTCGTGCGTTGTCTTGTCATGATTGTTTTCTTTTTTTTTATAATGTCCTATCGTAAAAATACAAGTAATAATATATTATATGTTACAATATATTCGAATGCTCAACTTTAATTGGACCATAGGATACTTCGATACGAAAACAGGAACAAAAAATATATATGTATATATAATATAGATTCCATCTTATTTTTGTGATTTCAGTAATACTGCATCGATAAATAAATATCTCGCGGATCGTTAAAATTATGTTAAAAAATAAGCTGATCTATCTAGAATGGATAAACGAGCATAAAATTCGCGCGATTCAATTTTGTTAGAACGAGTGAAAACAGTTTTCGTTTTTTTTCTTCTTGTCCTTCGTGTAGTCTTTTTCAAAGCATCTCTAAATTATCTACAGAATTGACGCACACACCTTTTTATCTTTAATTTTTTCTGCTTACGTTTTTTTTTCCTTTTTTTTTTATCGTTAAGCGTTTTAGGCTGTGTTCATTCTGCTAGATTACAATATATATATCACGGACTACATATCCCGTTTGCAGTTGGAAAAAAACATTCACTAGGAAAAACTCTTATCTTGCGAATACCTCTATCACGTGTCAGTGCAACTATTAATATGTTTACAGAATATTATCGTGGTTAAATTAAGTTACTCGTATATACAAGAGGTTAACCGTCTAAATTTATAACTCATATCAGTTTGGTCTAAATCTCGTTACGCATACAATATGATTACATAACAACGTGTTTACTGCTCTTACATATGCAACTTTTCTCCCTAGAATCGGTTAAATGTAATATACATAATACTGCAACTGTGCAAGTGTACGAATACTATAATTGTTATTCCTTTTTTTTTTCTTTCTTTGCTTCTGAAACCACTTGTATGTTTCAATAGCAATTTTCATAAGGAAAAGAATACAACGTTACGAACAAAGCATTTTTTTCCCCTTTTCTTTATATATCCAAAATAACTCTCGAACTTGAGATCCAGCTTACCATAGTAATTCTACGGATTTAGACACTAGTTTTTTTTTGCCCTTCGAACGTCTAGACTTTACTATACAAATAATTACTAGTTTGCACATTGTACATATTTTCAGAGAGAGAACGTTTCCTTTTTTCCAGTCCTAGTTTGCTGACGTATACATCCGGTTTCGATCAGCAATTTTTAACATTATTAGACTACATTTAAATAGCTCTTCGCATATACATAATTGACTACAAAGCTTCTTTCATTCAGCTTGCTGCACCAACAAATTTTCCATTCTACGAGTATTCATAAATATACAAGTACACGTGAATCTAAAGATTTACCAAAAAAAGGAAAAGCAACAATATATGTTACAAATAAATAAAAAGGTTTAACAGCAGGAAAATTTTGCTTGTGCAGCAAACATTGGAGCTTCAAAGAATGCTTGGATTAAATTTCATCGTATAAGCACGATTTCTTTTTTTTTTTTCTCCCTCTTTCGGTAAACTCACAATTCCATGTTTCTAACATCTAAATGCATTGCTAGGATTCGTTTTGGAAAAATCCATACAAAGGTTGTTGCGATGAAAATTTTCGTATAAATACGCCGAAAGCATTTTGCGAATAGATAAGTCAGTTCGTGTAAGCGCCAAGTGCGCGGTCGTTCTCGTCGATGTAGAGTATAATAGAAAATTTGTAAGTGGACACACAAACGGACTTGCTCTGTAGATTAAATATATTGACCACGTTGTACTTTGGGAAATGTTTCTTCTTTTTTTCTTTTCGTTTTTTCTTGTTTACTTTTTTTTTCACGTGAAAGAATATATAGAAAGGATCTTATCGGTTAATCGTTTCCTTCGCACAAATTTTTTGTTAGCAAGATGGCAGTAATTGAAATTGAAAAACTAAACAACATGTTGGGCACGTGCAGTGAGAGATATATATATATGTGTATATTCCACTCGATTCTCTAAATTCGAAGACGCCTAAAAGTAACGTGACATTTATTTAAAAAATTCCTATGCAAAAAGTGTCTTCACGTCTACCGTGTAATGCATTGTAAATCGTGCTCGAGTATTTCGATACTTGATTAACTATTCTAAACACCAAAAAATTTTTAAACTGTCCCTCGAAAACTTCACAAAGCTATCAACTTCGATTGACACGAGCCCCATCTCTCTTGCAATCTTCGACGTTGCTCCATGTGATGATCAGAGAGATTCTTCGAAAGTCCTACTTGCCCTGTCTTCAATTTCCTAGGATCTAGATTCGCCCCTAATGTTTGCACGCCTTTGGCGAATTTCGAGAAAGGCGAGAGAATATCTTTGGCGGTAGATGCCACTGGACTTGCGACGCTTGTAATATTGTCCTTAATCGACTTCAAGGCTGATTCACTCTGAGAAGATGTGATGTTCAGAGTTAGATCTTGCTCAGATGTAGACCTCTTCTTATCCTGTAGTCTGTTCTCTGTTAGTAATTTATTCCCATTTATACTGTTCAATATTAATTTACTGTCTACTTCTCCAGTCGAATGACTGATATTTCTGGAAAGAGTCAAGGATGACGGAGGAAGCATTCTCTCCTGATCTTCAGTCATACCCTCTGTTACATTTTGTATAGTTATTTCTGGTGTCTTTTGAGGGGAAGCACTCATTGTACTGGTCCCAGAACCTGTATGCTGTGGAATATTCAAACCTTCTCTGTCTGAGATAGGTCTCATCGTTGCATGTTGGTCTTCGTTGTTTTTATTAGGTTCCACTACATCTGTATTCTTGATACCCATAATGATACCAATGGATGGAGTGTAAGCCTCCATCAGATTCTTGTCATGTATGAAGTTCTCTGGCATTTCTAATGGAACCGGAGGAACGCTAATATCCTCATCTTCACTACTGCTACCGCTATTGCTGTGTTTTCCTTGCATATTGCCTGAGATATCTCTACCTCCAAGTGTGAATGTGAGCTTTGCAGGAGTTTCTGTCTTCCTGCCTATACTTTTGGCTATGTCTATTGGCTTCCTGGCGCTAAAGCTATGACTTAATTTATTTAACTTGCTAAATTGTTCTGACATGTTGCTTAAAGCTTTTGTTCCTGCAATCAGAGTATTTTATGATCAGTTATTAATTGCTTTAAATAGAAATAAGTTTCACTGTTTGAAAAATTCTACCTGCACTTTTAAGAGCTAGTAACTGTGTCTCTGAAACATTTCTGGTTAATTCAGGAAGCGAAGAAATGTCCAGCAGACCCGTGGATCCTTTACTGTTCACTAATTTACTCTTTCGCCTGTCTAATGTTACGTTCATTGCTATAGGAATCTTTGGTAGACAAGCTATCTCCGCAGCGACAGAAATAGCCTCGCAGATTGATTTTAAAGACTCTGTATAAACGTCTGAATTAATATAGCACTTGAACTATTTCAAGCTGAGATTACAAAATGATTTTCTTTTTAAATATCCTACCTATACTCTCTTCCTTCGTCTTTACAACAACAGCCATATTATTAAAAAACCGTAAATTTGTACTGCGGAACATGTGAAAGTAGCCGTACTCGGTGGCCATCTTGTAGTTTATTCTAATGCAGTGGAAATGCTTATTCTCAAAGAGGGAGACCGTGTTCTTTGGCTGGCCGAACTCGATCAACACGATGTCCTCGAGGGGAACTCTTTGGTAGTTTGTCACTTTGTCGATCTGATCGTCGTAATCAGCTACGTAATAACTGTCCCGCGTTAATATGAGAATAGTATCCATCTCTGTCTCCGCTAGGTCACCAGTTCTGTTGAAATTTGTCAAATGGTAAATTTACAATAGAAATCAAGTGAACTTAATTTTTCCAGAGAGAAGAATCACCTTACTGAATCGGTACAAAGATGATTTTACATTAATTGACAAATGTGGTTTTCTTCTCTCCTGAACAAATCAAGTTTTAACCGTTTCAAATTATTCTTCTGTTGTGTGAAGAGTTAGAAAATAAAAGAAACAAGGATACAACGTACACGGGATCAGCGTCAATTAGTCCCCAACTGCCTAGAATAATTTCTGGATCGGGTATAAGTAGCTTCTTGCAATCCTCGATCAGCAGTTTCACGTGAATAGCTGTTGCAGCATTGTCCTCCTCTTCTGTACGCTCTTGAAACACCTCCTCGTTAACCGAGTTCCCTAACATAATATCGATTGTGGCCTGTCTATACACATCCTTAAAACGGTTTAAATAGTATCTGAAAGAATATAGGTCTGCTGAGTGTCTGTATTGAGTCTTAAAAGCGAGTTAGAGTGAGAAAACAAAAATATGAAATAAAAGTTGAGGATGGGACTTTTTCTGGCGTCAGATGGTAGGGGAGAAGGAGCAAATTCTGCTTCCTCTTGGGAATTGAGATTTCAACTCAAAGTCAAGCATTTTGTGGTCATGCAATTCAGAAAAATCCCGTGCAACGCAGAGACAAATTTATTAAAAACATGTGGTGTCACAGTTCTTTTTGTTATACGTCGTCCTTGTTTCTCGTATTCGACAAAGCAACACAACGTTATATATATATATATTTCAGACGTCAAAGTGGCACACACTTTATTTCACTGTTTGTCCGTGTGAAAATCTCTGAACACAAAGCCAAGAACGAACCTTGCCAAATCATATATAGCACTGGCATAAAGAAAGTCAGGATGGGTGGCAAGTTGAAGCTCTATGTTTGGTGGTTTCGCGGGTATTAGCTCAAGGCAGCAATTATCAAGGATGTCTAAATAGTGCGACCAATCGGTATTCAGTTGATTAACGTCGATGGGGTTCCCTAGCAAGGTATCTATCGCCGCTTGACGTATATCATCCATAAAGTGTTGCTGAAAATATCTATGGGAAAATGAAAGGATCGTGTCAGGGATCTATGTCTGTATACAGAGAGTATTATCAGTACTTAAGCGATGATTGGTGGTGTGGATTGTCACAGAGAGAGAGAGAGAGAGAGAAAAAAATATATATATGGAGTAACTGTGTATGTCTTTGATATCTAATGACAAGATACGAATAAATTGTAACAGTTTATTCGTTCTAATAAAAAAAATATATATATATATATTACAACGCCTAATATATTCTTGAACGATGATCAATGATAATCCTAAGGGTTGGTGTTGTATTCGTGTAGGATGTGTGAATGTGAATGGTGTTCTATTTGCAATGCGGGGCGTGTGTCATAATTGTGGTCCAATTGTACCTGTTCGCAGAATTCATGCCGTCTTTCATTAAACCGGTAAACTTTCTTTCCCCTGTTCTTGTGTAATCACCCTACAAGGAACAAAAGAAACTAGTATATCGTAGAGGTTCGGCCAAGTGGCAAAAAATCTTTGCTCTCTTTTTGGTTGTTTTTTTTTTCCATTTTTTTGCTTATGGCTAATCGTAATGGGTTATACAGCCCAAAAACGAGCGTGTTTCTACGTGGTACGAACCTTCAGAGCATTTGTACCGGCATATTGTTTACTGATAATGTCGCCGTTATTCGCCCAAAGCAATTGAAACGTTTGTCGAATATTCGTCGGTAATGTTCCGTCCGGCGGTATTAGTCCTAGCTTGGAAAACTGCATTTCCATGACAGCTTTACCCAAAGCGGTTTGCACCACGTTCGTTCTATCTAAACAATCTATGCAATTCACCCGAAACCCTGCCTTCTGCATGCAAATTGTGCCTTGCTTATCGCGCCAACAGTAACCCATGTCTGTCAATACCGTAGCTAACGCATTGACCAGGATAGACACATTTTCAAAATGCATTCCTCGACTGTGTTAGGTATAAAAGAACATTTAACGACAATTCGAGATTACTTCATTAGTTTACAAGTACATTGTCAATTGCTTACCAGTACTCGTGGA